TGTACAGCTTTGTGCTGGCCTTGCACTGTTATTTTAAACAGTTATGTCAATTTTCATTTCAGACATATATACTGTAATTTACTACTTTTCTAAAGGTTCGATGAATACATTCAAGATTTGTATATTTTTAAACTGTTAAGTAGCTGTTGTCTGATAAGCAACCGAAAAGTCCGTATTATCCTTTCAAGACTGAAAAGTTTCGCCAAACCAGGCGCATTTGAAACTTCTATTTTCTTTAAAAATTAAAAAACAATACAAAAAAATGATCTCGATTCATGATTCTGGGTTTTAAGATTTTAAATAACATATAATTGATAAAATAATTTTCAACAACATGTAGTATAAAGAATGAAAATACATCAAATAATTATAATCAGCTAGAAGAACTATATTATTTTAATATATTGCCAAATGAAGTGAACTGCCTATCTTTGAATATAAATAACGATGTTTATAATGACCATGGTAGCGCTTCATCTCGACATTGATCCTTAACCTGTTTTAACCCGCTGAGTTTCATGTGCATGTCCAAATGCAGGAACCTTTTCGTGAATTAGATATAAAAATAAGAAGATGTGGTATTAATGCTAATGAGACAAATCTCCACCAGAAACCAAATGACGTAGAAGTTAACAAATATACGTTACCGTACGGCCCCAAATAGGCATTTCCACAATTAACATCTTTTCAGTGATATTTGAGGTCAAACTAGTTGAAAGTTTAAAGCATCGTCAAGTCGACTGACACTTGACCAATCTAGCCCAAAGAAAAAAAAATGAAAGTTATCATAAATACGTCCGAACGTCGAAACTAGTAAAACATTTTTACGTATCGTACCGTCTAAGCATCCACATAATGAATTTTAAAAAATTCTGGAACATGAACCAAAAAAACGAGCAAAACCAATATCGCATAGTAAGCTATAAAGACATAAAGAGGCAGGCGATTTTCAACTGATTTTTACAGTTTGTTCATATTTGTTGTTGCTACGCCATTATCCCAGGTTAGAAAAGGGATGTTTTGCCCCGTAAAATTCTTTATGTCAAGTGCCTGTAAATCATTGCTTTGACTTTTGAATCGTTCATAGCTTACAATTCAGTATGCCTTTTGCTGATATTGAGGGCCTGATGGTGACCAATTGTTTCTTTCATCTTCGGTTTTGGCTCTGATACCTTGTTGGCAATTATACAACATCCTTATTTTACATTAGTCCATAGTATCCATCGTCACACATAAAAAGAGCAGATAACCAAAATTGATAAGAAACCAATTCGATGAATATGAAACCAAGATAAATAAACAATACCATTATGTTTACCAATTGCTAAATTTGATTTGCCTCATTAAGTGTAAAATGCGCATTGTTTAAAATTGAGCTCATAACAGTGTTATCTAAAGATGAGCTACTTGAAACGATACGAATGTCGACTTTGAATGAGACTTACATCAACGCTCTTCGGTTCATTAAATGTCCGCCAAGGATTTGTCGATCTTACGGAACTATGTTAACCAAAACTGTAAAAGTAAAAAGATATCAACAAAGAAGAAAAATAACCAAAACCAATTAAACAAAAATAAATAAATAATAATAATAAGTGATCAGTTTCACAAAAATGCTTACGACTAAAGTTGATCGTAAGTCATGACGAATTCAGTTTACTTACGGTCAACTTCAGTTGTAAGATTTTATGTGAAACTTATCACTACAGGTGTTTCGTAGCGACGTTCAGCTTGATAATCGTCTATGTTAGAGCTCTCGTTTTTTAGGAATAGATTCGTTGATAAATGGCTCGAACTGAAACGTATGGATATCTACTGAACATGAATTATCAGGAATATTACTGTCACAACTATTCATACTTTCTATCATACAATTTAAAAAAAAACTTTACACTTTATTTGATGATATTGTCGGGCCCATTTGAACCATTGACGCCATCTAGTTATGTGATTGCAATTTAAGTCATCAGTTTAGTTACAAAGGTAAATGATGTCATTAGTGCAAACTGACATCCTAATTGATTGCGCATTGCCAAGTCAGCTGCAAAAAATACTCCCATTTTAGTACATGATGGCAAAATATTTATTTATCCATTGGACAAATTTAAACATTTATTAGACAGGAATTCACTTATACAAAGTCCGATTTTATTGAAAATATTCAAATAGAAACTGCTAGAATTATTACTGGACTATGGCGTAATTCTTCAAGACAGAATTGTCACGTTGATTTAGAATTTGAAACTTTGGAGAATAAACGAAATAAACATAAGCTTATACTTTTTTTTACAATAATAAATGGAATGACACTTGCATACTTGAAGCTTATACAAGTTAGTCTAGCCATATTTTCCAAGACAAACTCCTTCTAATTTGCGGAATTAAAATAATACATTTCAACCTCACTTTCTAGAAGTGATTCTTACTTTAATAGTTTCATTCCTCCCAATATTATGATTTGGAATAATCTCCCTCTAATTATTAAAGAATCCCTAAGTGTATGTTTATTTAAAAGTAGACTAGACAAATTGTCAATTTTGTGAAGTTTGGCTGTGCCTGTAGAAAACTTATTTCAAACGGTATGGCACATCCTAAATTTTACGGTGATATTGTTAACCGAGCCCGGACATTTAGATACGATCCAGGTAAACTTATCAATCCTTTAAATAGATTTCTTCTAAAAGGTAACCTATTCAACACTGTATTTAAATCTTTGAATATTGTTTTTATTGGTATAAATATTGATTTTGTTATCAGTAAATTAAAACCATACTAAATATTACACATATTTACTTTCATGGTACTAAAATCTGTCGATACCTATAGTTTGGCATTGCACAAGGTCATGTTTTTCTCTGACTGTTAATGACGTCTGTACACTAAATCCATTGGATGCTGGATGTGTACTGATTGATGTTTTAGTCTTAGATACATGCTTTTTTTATTAGTTGTTATTGGCTTTGAACTAGCTGTCAGTAACTGCGAGTACTCTCAGATCTGTATTTAGTGTCTTTTTGTTGTGGGGATGTATAAGTACCCGTCCACGTCCACTCTGTGTTTTTGTTAGATGTTTTTCTAATTGTATCCATCTGATGAGTTAAGTCTTTTTCAAGTGATTTTTATGGTTTGTTCTTATGTTGTACTGTTACACCACTGTCCCAGGTTAGGGGAGGGTTGAGCGCTCACAAACATGTTTAACCCCGCCACATTCTTTATGTGCCTGTCCCAAGTCAGGAGTCTGTAGTTTAGTGGTTGTCGTTGGTTCATGTCTGTCATATTTGTTTTTGGTAAATTGTTTTGTTATAAATTAGACCGTTAAGTTTTCTCAATTGAATGGTTTCATATTTTTCATGTAGGGGCCTTTTATAGTCGACCATACGGTATGGGGTTTTCTCATTGTTGAAGGCTGAACGGTTACCTATAATTGCTAACATTCACTTCATTTGAACATTGGTGGATAGTTGTTTCATTGGCAATCATACCACATCTCCTTATTTTTATAATGTATTCTTGCATGCTAACATTAAATGCATATCTATATATGCAGTTTGTAACAAATACTTCATGTTCTGTGTATCACTGTAGGTTATGTCATTGGATTGTTTCAGACCAAATGTATCATATCTTCATCACAATGAGGCAAACATTTTGCACTAGTTCTTTCAAATATATCTTTAAAAGTGACTAAGGAGATCAAAAAACAAGGAAAAGTCAAAATTTAGAATATGACCTTGACCTTTGACCTTGACCTCAATTTCATTTTAATGAACCAAAGACCCTAAATACATATATCTTAGGTCTCTATCATTTACCATTCATACCATACATTAATGTTTCACTTATGTCAAATACAGAAGGGGAAAAAACTCTCATATGGAATCTTCGTATCGCTTCCGTCAAAATTGGACAAAAATACTGAGGATATAGCGAGCAATTTGGTAAAATAAATTTGTCGCTTTCTTTTACAGTTACGGAGGAGATGCAATATTAAGGAAAACAGTTTTCGGGGAGATAATTCCTACGGAAAAAAGTATTCGGTTAAGGAGGGTCAAGTTCAAAGGCGCATAAACTGTGCGATATCATATTCCAAACATCAAAGCGACATCTTGCAAAACAAAAATATACACGCAAGAAATAAAAGTGGCGGAAGAAGAAAAAAAAATAATAATCAGAACAAAACCAATAGGTCTTTCACAGAAAAATGGAAAGACCTAATGAATAAAAAAATAACCAAAATAAATAAAACAAAAAACAAATGAACGATAACAAGTAGGTTTTCATGAGCGACTTTCTGTTTGAGACAAGTCGTCTATAAAAAAAAAAGATTCGTCATAGATACCAGGATTTCAATTTTGTACGCCAGACGCGCGTTTTCTCTGCAGAAGATTCATTAGTGACGCTCGAATCAAAAGAAGTTTAAAAGGCCAAACTATGTCAAAGCTTTCTGAAAAAGCATTACTGAATTCATTACGAATTGATTTGGTAACCAATGGCTCGAACTGATACGTATGGATATTTTACGAACGTGAAATATAGGAAATATATCTGTCACTATTATCCCTACTTTCTATTATATAATTTCCAAAAACAAGCACTTTAACCGACGCTCACTGTCCGAACCAATAGTACCATTGACATCATCTAGTCATGTGATTGCACTTTAATTCAAATGTATAGATAGGGGCTGGGCAGTGCAGACTTCATCATAAATTAATTTGGTGATCAAACCTACTGAGCATCTATCAGAATAGATTAAGTCTATAGATATAGGAAGATGTGGTATGAGTGCCAATGAGACAACTCTCCATCCAAGTAATAATATATAAAAGTAAACCATTATAGGTCAAGGTAAGCCATTTATAAGGAAAAATAAATGTTCGTTTCGCATATCATTTAGTTGTTGAATTTTATTAGGGCAGTGACAAGCAGTCCTAAAACTTCACTCGTTAGATTTCATTAATCATCCTATATATCAATCGGAATAGTTTAAGAATAAGACATTTAGACAGGAGAAACAAAATTTCGTTTCGTATATTTTTTTTTTTTTTACTTGGAACAAACGACACAAAGAACATCTGCTTCATTGGTATACGGAGGACATCTCAAACTTCCACATTTGGTTCGGAGAGGATAAAACAAAGCTCCGTTTTCATCACCATTCTTTTTATCCAATGGTTCTGCATTTTTGTCAACACAGGCGTAGTCTCTTTTGAAATGTCCTTTATGAGCACTCATGAGGTAACCATTGTATTCTGAGTTCCATCCTTTATAGCAAGTCTTTCGACCTAAAATATTTTTGAATTGTAGACTAACGATTAATAGTAAATATCAATTTCTTTTTATAAGAGTAAAAATTATTTTAAGTTAAGGATCTTACGGTTTAAGTTTAACTTTATATTCTGTTCAAACAGTTGACAATACTAATATCATAGTAACATTATTTGATATTTAGGCACGAATATAGAATGTATGTAAAGTAATATTCTTAAAGTGTTCACTGGTTTGCTGCTCTACCTTAATTTTAAAGAATCCAATCATTTACCTTGTTTAGAAAAAACTATTCGGAAAAAAGTTTCCGCTGTTCTGTATATTGGATGTCGGGCGTTCCAGTAAAGTTAATCCAGAATGCTTGTAATGGAATTCCTCTTTGATATAAGTGTCAAAATACCAGAAATTGCATATACAATTGATTCGAAATTTGGAACATTGTATTACTATTTTTTACCTGGTATCATCACGACAGCTGATCTGCGTTTTTGATAACATACAGAACATGGCACTTCCTTGTTGTGCATACTTTCTGACCATCCTGATGGTTTCATTGATGAACTAAGTTCATATTCACCTCCATGTACCTGATCATTGCTATATGATTGATGTTGTCCATTCTCTGGATCACCAGGGAGACATAAATAGTTCACACCACCTCCTCTATGATCATATTGATTTCCGCCGACTTGCCCTGCAAGTCAATAAATGTTTTTAAACATCATTTTAAAGAATAATTATGATATAAAAAAAGTTGTGTTATCATTCAAATGAGACAACTATCCATCAAAGAAATAAGATAGAGTTATTCAATCAAACGTTTTTCTTCAAACGTACACTATTTCGTAAAGACTCTCATTACACCTTCTTAAAAATAGTATTTATATTGTACTACTGAAGCAGAAGCGTGAACGAATTTGGAATTTAACTGATGGTATTTCACTTATCAAATTTACAATAAGGAAAAATGCAGTAAATTAATTTTTCTCAAAAGTTGAGGATTGTTTATGCTTGATTTTAGTTAGTTTTTACAAAATAAATTTACCGGTATACACCATGTCAGCTCCCTTTGGACAACTGTTCTTTCCCCAACGTGTAAAGGTCACTCCTAAAGATAAACAAAAGAAAAAAAATATAAATAATAACAACAAAATCAAAAACAACTATTCTTGCTGTTTTGACAACTTTCAATGGATTATCAAAAATTACATTAGGATAATTCAATGTTTTAAACCAGTATAACACTATACTTACAAATTCAGCATATAACATAGTATTACATGATGTTTATATTTTTCTTTATGATTTGTAAATATTTTGACAACGACATCATCATCACAATTGCTTATTTTAACAGTATATGACGATTTGAATAATTGAAAATGTGTTTAATGAATAACTCAAAATAGTTATTTGTGTTACATATAGAAGTTCCCTTCCACTTTTAAACAATAATAACAGATACAAAAACCGTTGCACAACTGTAAAAACCTGAATTGGATATTTTGCTTTGAGGTGGACATTCGTCTGTCCTTGACGTATGAAGGTAATGTTTCATCATATCTATCAGTGACTGATCTGAAGCCGACAGGTCATAGTCCTTACATCCATGGCTGTGCACAACCAGCATAACAGTTGCTAACACAAATGTCACAAAAGGCAAGCACATGTTGATTCTGCAATTTATATAGAATATAGATAATTCATAGAATCTTACAAAATTTGAACAAACCAAAGCATTTTATGTTAAATTTAGAAATTCGGCTTGATGTTGAATTCTTGTTCTTAGGAATATATTGTTTGAAACCCGTTGATGGTTAACTTCATTGACTACATCACAGAAGAACACTTGTATGTATATATATTTTAGTCTGCTGTCTTCTGTGCACCACTTCAGAATTTCATGCAAAACAATGCAATGTTTACGTAATAAATTGTAAGCCTTGTATCGTTTCTAATTTTATATTGTAAATATTTCTTTCTTCTTAAAATTAAAAGGTACAGCTAAATATTTAAACATACCTTTCTATCTTGACCGTGTTCAATGGCAATACAATATTCCTACAAATCTATCAAAGCTGTTGTTATATATATATATATAGATATATAAAATGTTGTCTTCTGAAATGGATAATGAGATATTTGCGTGACTAGATATTGACTTTTCTTTATGCATACATGTAATATGTATTTCAAATATTAAGTGTAAATTAGAATGAAAATGAAAACAAACTTGAATTATCAACATTAATCTAACAAATAGAGTATATGAACATAATTAGGAGATGTGGTATGATTGCAAATGACACACCTATACACCCAAGTTCAAATGAAGTGGATGTTATCAAATATAGGCAACCGTACGGCCTTCTTCAATGAAAAAAAAACATACCGTATAGTCTGCTATAAAAAGCCCCGACATTTTGGCAGAGAAGTTTTGTTGTACCTGTAAATACTCATATAACTAAAGCGACATCAAATCCGAAATTGTACGGTAATCATGTTGTTTTGAGCTCCTAGATTTGGATATATGTTTATGTGGCAATCATACCAAATCTTCTTATTTTATATTAATTTATATTTGGATTCAATTATGTTTATCATAAGGAGTTCACAGAACAAGCTATTCTTACTTCTTGTTTGATTAGATATATCTATTCATCACAACAGCATTACAATTCAAATTAATTAAAGAATATTTTAAGTTAACATAAACTAATAGAATTTTATTCATTGATCAAATGACATCGTTTTGTTAATTACATTTTCTAAATTTATAATTGGTTGTAAACTCTTGGTTTCTTTTTTCACATTTAGTTCTTTTAAAAATAACAAACTTGGCACAAACTGTAAGAAACTTCTCTTCATAATTATCAGTCTCTAGTTTAATGCTGAGAAGACACATTCTTACATTCATCGTTTTCAGCAACCACCATATCAGTTGGTAGTACAATTGTTACATGTTCCTAACACTTATTCGTTCTGCAAATAACATCAAACACAGTTCTGGAAAATCCCTAGGATTCTTATAACTAAAATAATGCAATCCATCACATGCTTGCTTGCAAAATTGATTTATTACGTTCATATTATCCTCAGATAATGTTTTGAAAATGTCTTGACTTGTATCCCTTTTCATGAAGATATGCATAAGTGTAAACTCAATTGTGAGTTGTGTATGATTGCATGAATTGAAATAAAAATTAACAACTGTGTGCGTCCGATACACTTTTGTTTTATTAACACTCATCAGAGACGCTCAAACCCAACCAAAAAAATTGAAAGCCAATGAGTTATAAGTACTTGCAAACGTTAGGCGGTATATGACTAATATTAAACTAAAAGTAATAGCCAATCCACCTAAGGTTAACTTTTCCTGAGCTATTTTGAACCTTAATTGTTTGGAAATTAAAATTTAGTTTTTGCCCACGTACTTGGAGCAACTCACACAATTTTTTAAAGGCATTAATTTGTCAGTTGATTTCTGAGATATATATCATATCCCTTAGAAAATGATTTCAGGAATACACATGTCTACTTGTTCCGATACACTGGAGCCATATTCAAATTGTAGTGTTTCTACGATGAATGTGTACAGTTTAGATATTTATATTGTTCCCCTTTCTTAATGTAGGAATAGTGCAACATAAGCATATTTTCCATACCTAGGTTGTCAGTTTATTTATTGACTTGCATCTAATAATTAAAGTGAAACTAGAAAGAAAAAACATTCATGGCTTCTGTTATGCCAATAGATACGTGCAGTATTTCGGAGTGGGGCTGGTACCTTAACCTGGAATATTTGTTGTTAACTCTTTTATTATCAATACTGATTTCCAGGATTTTTTAGTCATGAATCCATTTTAATGGATATTGTCTCAGGATCTCCTTGTCGAAATTGTAGATGTGTCGTAAGTATATTTATGTCTGTTTGATTTAATAATAAGAATGTAACTTGTATTGTATCTTTAAATAGCCTATGTTAAAAGCGCCTCCAAGCTCTTTATTTGATGTTGAAGTATTTTTAATTCTATTAAATCATTATATGTTCTACAGATGTTTCTTCTTCATAGGGGGGTTTATTATAAGTTTCAACAATAATCTTTTTAAATCCGAGATAATTATACAGTCACTGCGATAATTCTTTCATATAATATGATATTGTTTTTTGTTTAAATATTTTCGATATACTGACTTTTTTGTATGCTCTTTTGTGTACACTAACCCATTGATGGATATTTAAATGTAGCTTAAACCTGCCAAATATTAACGTACTTATCCCAGGTTAGGAAACTTGTAAATGGTTGTCTTATGTCATACGTTTACGTTTTTTTGGGGAAAATAGGTTGTGGTGACCTATTTTTAATAGCTTACGTTAAATCTATTCACAACTTTTAAAAACCAAACGATAATAAACTGGTACAATCGAAATTCATACGTCAAACAAAAACAGAAAACACCATGGGCAAACATAAAACAATGAAAAAGGGCTATGTTACTACCTATCGAAACAAAAGTAAGAAAAAAAATAAGGAACTCATTTAGGTGATTTAAATTCCTTAGTAGTCTTGTATGAACTATGTTTCATCGAGGGTCAGTTTGTTAACGTTCGCAGTTAAAATATATCTAGTTCATATGTAATATTACTGAATCTTATCAATCAAATATTTATTTTTATTTAGCAAGGTACCCCAAAAAATCGTAAGACAGATATCACCATCGCCAAAAGAAAATGTCTAAATACAGAAACAATTCATAAAACGTTAGAACGAAAGCTAAAGATTGAGTAACACGAACCTTAAAAACACTCAGAGTGAACTCCGATGACCCTAGAAGGGTATGAAAAATCTGCTCCTCTATTGAAAGTGTGGATCATTTCATTCTGTCTCTTTTACCTTTCCAAATAAAATTGTATATTAAAGTTTTAAAATCTTGCAACATTTCTTTAAGAATAATAGCGTTTGATGCAATATCTGTTAGGTTTGGCAAAACCAGTGATTTGATGACAACTAATTTTCCTATAATAGTGAGATTTCTTTTACTCCAATCAGATATTATTTTTTTACATTTTAAAAGTAGTTTTTCAAAGTTTAGTTTTTGACATTCTTGTTTATTGTAACCAAAGTAAATATCAAGGCTTTTGATAGGTGCAGTACACCAATGATATCTTCAAATTTTTCCCGCCAATGTTTCAATTGGCCTAAAAGGGAAGCTATCTAACACTCAAAAAGTTGGTTTAATATCCTTAATTTATAAGAAAAATGACCCTTTATCACTAGGCAATTATAGACCGATTACTCTTTTAAACTATGATGCAAAACTACTTGCTTACGCCTTAGTTCAAAGAGTAAACCCCTGCTACCAAAGATTATACATACTGACAAAAAAGGATATGTCAAAAATAGGTATATTGGTTATAATATTCGGCAAATACAAGATGTCATAGACTACTCCGAAACTTTCAAAATAGATGGGGCAAATTTTATTCCTTGATTTTACAAAAACATTTGACTCATTAGAATGGGACTTCATGTTTGAAACTTTAAAGAAATTTGGCTTTAAAAATAATTTCATAAGGTGGGTTCAGACAATGTTCTCTGATATTAAAAGATGCATTATTAATAATTGATGGGTTTCTGCCCGTTTCAGGACATCTCGTGGAATCCGACAAGGATATACGATATCATTCTTACTATTTGTTTTAGCTGTAGAAGTTATGGCAATACAGATAAGGGAAAATAAAAACTTAAAAGGACTAGAAATAAAACTAGACAGTAAAAGTAATACTCTTAAAATCTGCCAATTAGCTGACGATACTTCTCTATTTCTTCAATAAAAAAAGACGTATCTCTAGCAATTAATTTAATAGAAATATTTGGTACTTTCTCAGGTTTAAAATTAAATAAAACAAACAAATCTGCTTTTTATTATGTTCATGCCTTTTCATAACCTGCTTTGTTTTCATACAATGTTTTTCAACCTGCTTATGATCAAGAACTACAAAGTCCTACAACACACACTACGCTAAAATATATTATCCTCCGTAAGTCTTTAAACACATTTATGTATCCCGACCTTTAAAAATGTTTGAAAAAGTACGTGAATTCGGTTGCACAGTTTATTACACACTTTAAATTTGTTACGGGCTTGCACATCAGACATTCCATAGTGCAATCATCTATTCTGGATAAAAATCATTAAAATATAAATTTTGATTACAATAAATATTTATTACTTTGAAAGTTGATATTCGTGTAGTATTCGTAGAAATATCTGTATCGCCTTCCAACGTTGCATTGTAAAAAAACTCCTCACCATCTCCCATTCCCCGTTGTATATCTTTCATATGACTCTTAAATTATCCAGTACACGAAAAGACAATAATCATCTGAGGAATAACTTATTTTAAACTTTATTTTATCAAAGATGGTTTGTACCAAGTATAACATGGTAAGTCTGTGTAGTCAATGGAATAAAAAATGTGGAAACCCGGCTTAAACCCCTTAATTGAAACACGAAAACCAGCCGAGGAGGGAGAAACATTGAAAGATTATCTTGGATCCACATCCATATACAATATCAAACAGATAAGATTGTTTGTGCAATTTCATCAATGTCTCTAGTTTAGACAAACATATAAAAACTAGAAAATAACAGATTTTGAGATATTTCGAAATTACCCCTACCTCCTTCCATCTTGGAATAATTCTACACTATTACGATCATGACTATCTTGATTTTGTTAACTGTGCATTCCGCTAGTTCTTGCTTCTGTTACTGAACTATGTTATGATTTGTACTTGCTTGACCTATATGGAGGTAATTTGCAAATAATATAATTATTCTTATAATTTCAGCCCACACTAATGTATATTTTTAATCTCGTAAATTCATTTATAAAACACAAATCATGTTACATACTCAAACTGAGAGAATCATATTAACTACGAAAGAAGTGAACCAGGGTAATATTAGTTATTTGCTCCAAAGTAAATAGACAGACATTAGATATCTACACAACTATAGGTAAGCCAAAGGGTGTAACTGAGTGGACAG